ATATATATCTATCTCTCTCTCTCACCAGAGAATCTCTTACCACAGTAATTTTTTATATTTGACCTAGGAAGGAAACTTTGAGCTGGCAATCAAGGAACCCATTTAGCATGAAAATGTTTCCAAAGTAGCTTTCTCCTTTACTCATCTTATGAACTTGCTGTGAGGAATTAAGAAAATCCTTTGAACAACACAGAATATATATATATATTGGTCTTTTTCAGACAGGGTCTCCCTGTAGCCCCAGCTGTCCTGGAACTCACTATGTAGACCAGGCTGGCCTTGAAATCACAGAGATCCACCTGCCTCTTCCTCCCGAGTGCTGGGATTAAAGGCATACGCCACCACGCCCGGCTCACGGAATATATTTTTAATTGAAATCCTAAAGAAAATCAGGAGCTCTGGAGGATGCAGGGCTTGCATTTGGAGGGAGCAAGCCCACTCTTTTAATCATGGAAGCCATGGAATCAAGAAAGAAAGACTAATCTAGCATCTACTTTGAAATGGAAATCTCCCCTGTGAAAATCTGGCTTCTAGCCTGATCTGGGACTGTGCCAATGAGTAGGCAGAGAGGAGAAGGCAGTGAGTGGAAGCCAATTCATTAGTCAATCAAAAATATTTATAGCTCTCTAGGTGCATGGCACCATGCTGGACTCCATGAGAGGGTAGAGGGAAAGTGAGATCAACCTCAGCTCAGGCAAAGCGAGTCATCGGCTCCTCGGGAGGCAAGGTGGACAGGTGCTAACAGAAAAGACGGCACGGGGAGTACTTTAATTGGACAGTATGTCTTACAGATGCTAAGAATGTAATCCCGACAAACTGGGTGTTATTCTAGGCTTACACCATTTGCATGGTGCTGTGGGGTGTTCCATGTTCAGAGCAGCAATGAAAGGTGTTCTTGGACTCTTGGGAATGGGTGAGATGGGACTTACCAGGTCTTTCTCCACTGAGCATGAGATGGTTTGGGTGAACTGTGAGTGGTGACAGAGGGGTCTTTTCCAAAATAGTTCTGCAGAGTTGTGCTTATATCCTTTGTGGAAAATGTGTGTGTGTGTGTGTGTGTGTGTGTGTGTGTGTGTGTGTTTTGTTTGTGTATGTGTTTCTGTATAAGTACGTGTGTGGATGCATGTGGAAGCCAGAAGACAACTTCTGATGTCATTCCTCAGATATCATCACCCATATTTTTTAGATAAAGTCTCTCACTGGCCTGGAATTTACTAAGTAGGCTAGTCTGTCTGGCCTGTGGGCCCCAAGAATCTGCCTGTCTTCCACTCCTCAGAGCACCTCAGGGATTGCAAGCACATAACACAACACCTGGCTTTTTCATTATGTGAGTTTTGGGTTCTAACCCCTCCTCGTCCTTGCAAAGCAGGTACTTTACCTACTGAGCCATCTCCCCGGCCCTTGTGGAGGACTAGTTAAAAGTAAGAGTTGTTATAAGAATATTTAGGAAGAAAATATGTGACTAAAAATCTTATTGCACACCAAGCCTTTCACATTATGATAATCATAACACAAATCAATAAAATCTTGGTTAGAA